AGTTACTTTCATTCTTTGGCTACACAAATGATGTCTGTGTACCCACCCTGTGTTCACTGTGTGAATGAGATTAGTGTTTGAATCTTATGAAAGTATCTACAGCTTTAATCAATCACCATTAAATCAACATTAGACAATCCAATCAATCTCTCCAATTTGTTTTGAGTCCAACTGTTGTTTATCAAAGGCTATGTTTAGAATGGAATAAGTGTACGGCTACACACGGGTTATTGACTACTGTTTGTTATAATACATTTGAATTATGTGTTTTAAAATGCAGTACATGAGCACCTAATGGGACATGCTGATGGAAAAAAATAATATGAGATGGGAGGAAAAATTTGATTTCAATGTGTTTGCGTTCACTCTCAAAACTTCTGCATTCTCTCACAAAAAATACTGTTCCCCAAGTATTGTGTTCCTCCAAGAAATTTTTAATTTGCTCACAAAACACTTGCATTCCCTTGCAAAATTTGGCTTTCTTTGCCCCCAAAAAATCAGTACTGTTCAGTTCACCCAAGAAACTTTGCGTTTTCCTTCCACCACATGTTATTTCCATCACAAAAGTTTTGAGAGTGGATGCAAAAGCATTGAAATATAATTTTCTTTTTTCCCGCTTACTATCACCATATGACATGACCATTTTAAAAACTGTTTTAAAAATAATATTTAATAAATGGTTATTTTGCATTATTAACTCTTTCAAAAAGATCTATTTTTACCACATATGGGCGAAAAAATAAATATAAGCAGTTCACACTGTGAAATGTATTCCAGAAACAAGTTTGGCAGGAAAATATTTATAATTTGAATCTCCTAGCACGCCAGAGTCAAGAAACAAGCTTACTTGCCTACTGATACCATTGTTGACTATTCTGAATAAAATGCAAAAATCTTCCAAGTATTTTAATTCAGTATTCCAACAATCTAAGCTGCATTTTTAGCTTTACAGTTCTTAACATTTTAAGAGAAAGAAAAATTTCAGCATCCTTCTAAATGCAAAAGTGGATATTGATGGTCAAATATGTTTAATTAAACACAACAGAGCCCCATTTTGTAAATCACGGACAAACTAAATGCTTCTAAATGAAACTGCTGATTCATGAATGCTGCTTTGAGTTGAATATACTGAACTTTCATCCTTTAAAGCAGGGGTGGTCAATAACTCTGCAGAGTTTAGATTCAACCCTAATTAAACACACCTGATTCAACTAATCAAGTCCTTCCGGCTTATTTGAAAACTACATGGTATGTGTGTTGGAGCAGGGTTGGAACAAAACTCTGCAGGGCTCCGGCCCTCCAGGAATAGAGTTTGACACCCCTGCTTTAAAGGGTCATGAAACACCAAACTACTTTTTTCTGAGATTTTAGCAAAGCTGTTTGTGTTGCACATCATAGAAGACAATTTTATCATCCATTAATTTTAATTGTTTGAGAAAACTGGTTATTTTTTAGCTTTTTTGCCGTATTTTCATCTTCCGAGTTTAAAATCTACATCGTGTTGACATCACAGTTTGTGACATGGCAAAGGACTATAGTACTTCGATGACGCGTCAGTGTCTTATAATTATTCATGAGACTGCGCATTCTTATCCTATGAGAAGACCCTTCATTTAATTATTCACAACAGCATGTGTGACAGACGCTTCAGACTGTGAGATTGCGTACAATATTATAGTGATGGGAAGTTCGGATCATTTTACTGACTTGGATCTTTGAATCTCGTTCATCAAAATGAACAAATCTTTTTTTCCAAGTCATTTCATACATTTCGTTTATTACAGCAGAATATAATTGAAATGTTACATGTTAATAGCCAAATTCCACAACACATCCATTTACAAGACGTTGCTCAAATTCCACAACACATCTGCTTACGTGACGTTTCGAATAAGAAAAAATCTATAATGCAACCAAGGCCAAATTATGAGAAACAGAAATGATTCATTAATTTTTTCAGGTTATGCAATCTGTTAGTTTCCCTCACCTCCCATATAAATAAATAATTATTAAATATCTTCATTATCAGTATTTAATTTAAGTAACAGTATTTTTGTCATGGTGTCCAGTACGATACGTATAAAATAAAAAATAAAAGAAATTAAAAAAAAGTAAAAAACAACAACCAGTTGCTGAAGTTTGCTGAAGTTGTTGTCCATCATAAAAAATACAAACTATTCAAGATAAACCCAAGTTAAATGTCTATTGAAAAACAAGCAGTTTTCAAAGCATAATACAACATGTGGAACTGGCAGGCAAATGTAGAAATTCAACTCTATAGAAATAGCACGCTCTAACAGAGACGCTCCCTTCCAAATCCATTAGATCAAAGCTTATAGTCTCTATTCAAAATAATACAAAAAACAAATAAATAAACAAACAGACAAACACATTTTCACTGGTGGGAAAAATATATATATATTTATACAACAGTTCTTTCTGGTCTTCAAATCTGATTGGCTGCAAGGAGTGCGATATTCTAGTGATATCGGAACTCCAACTGTTTAACCGTTTGTATCACTCCGTTTGTATTTCTCACAGCGAGTGTCATGGCGGCGGATGCCCAAATCCACTATATATTTTTTAAAATAATACTGGTTTTGTGTCACAGAATGTAGTTTTATACGTTTTTAGGTGAGAATGTACTTGTTTCGACTTCAAATATGCGGTTTGTTAGATAACGCCTTTTAAATGTTTGCTGAAGTTGTTGTCCATCGTGTACGGCTGCTGACCATTATGTGAACACTTTCGAAGCTAGTATAGCATGTAAAGCTGAAATTATTAATGTAGCCTATCTATCGACAAATATTGAACTTAAATATTGAATATTCATATGGTAAATACACACTTGGACGCCTATATGTGGCAAAAAAAACCATTTAGGACGGCATATCTTCATATGTGCGCTACATTTCGGACCTTGGTCTAAATCCAAATTGTCAACAGTCTTTACAAGTCTTTTCTTCAATGGACAAACGATACTCCTAGACATATAACATCATAACACTACTGAATGTGTTCATTTTGTTGTTTTAGGTTAGAAGCCAATGGGAAGAATTGCCATCAGACTAACCCCACAGCTGACAACCAGAGACGTGTGCGCGCACGCGCACACACACACACACACACACACACAAACCTGGGTAGTGACTGATTACGTAATCTGGATTACGTAATCAGATTCCAAAAAATAAGTACTTGTAATTAGATTAAATGGCATTTTAAAATACTTGTAATAAGGCTACAGTTACTTTTTTTTTATTGATTACATGATTACATATTATTCACACAATAGCAATAAATTATTCATAATTAATTGATTCTCCCTAATTCCTCTTTTTCATCTTTTAAATGTTCCTTTCTAAAATAGCCCAGTGCTTATATACATTCAGAAAGTCTTCCAGTTTTGTGGACATTCACACAGAGACCAGTCACCGATCAGGTGGCTGTAATTACACAGAAAACTGAGAGGCCACACAGCATTTGACCACATTTCAATTTTAAGAAGTGTTTTCTCAACATTTCAACATTGCATCAACTACTGATGAAAAACATTAATGTTTATTTGTATTTTCACTCAGTAGGTTATTTAACCATGTATTACTGGCGTGGGAAGACTTTTGTCTTTTCAAACACATTCAGATTACATTTATTGCAGCGTTTCACAAAATTATTTTGTCAGCAAAACCTCTTTCACCCAATATATTTACTTGAACTACCCTTGAGATTTTAAGGTAATAAGTTCATAATTAAGTAACAAATTTGCATGCTCACGGTTCTCTGACTCTAAACATGACATGCAGATAAACAAATTAAATATTTCAATTTTTTTATTGTGTTTTTTTTTATTCATGTTATTTTAAAATGATTTATTTTAATTTGACTTTTTTAGAATTTAATTAATTATTAGCTTTTCATTAAACTCACAAACCCTGGGGGACCTTCGCAAAGAGGCAATTTAGGGGACCTTCTGGGGACCTTTTTTTGTTAGCTACGGTTAGTCTTTGATCTCATTAATCTATTATTTGTTCCAGAGCAAATAGTTTTAGCTGAGGTCAAAATCTCATCATGTTATATTTTATATAACTTTAATGCTGTATAGGCTATCAGAGTGCTGCCTTTATCCTTTTGACTGAATTGCCTAGCAACTTTTATGATGGCTGTCGTTGTTGTTTGCTAAATATTTTTATTCAATAAATAATATTTTATATAAATAACAGTAGTATTTAGTATTGGGAAACAGTGTGTGTGTTCATTGTTCCGATATTAGATGGTGACAAGAGACTGTTTTTATGAGTGAGTCAGCAGTAAAGGATAGTACAACAAAGATATCGCTTCCTCAGCAGACATTCAAACTAATGTGTTATTGTGAATATGAGACTGAGCTGAAGAATGAATGCTGTATCAGATTCAGGTAATCACACATGCTTAGTCCATCTCTCGCTCATAATACTCTACATAATACAGTGAGCTTTTAATACAGTAATACAATAAGCTTTCAATTAAGCAACTCACCTTCGTTACTAGTTCTAAAGTGACGTATTCAAATTAGTAATGGAGGCTTAAGCTCAGCTGTAAAATTGTCAAGATTTGAATCCGTGGCAGAAGGAAGAATTGCCGCACAAAAGAGGGTTTTTAAAGTTGTTTTAAAAGTTGTTTTTTAAAGTTGTGCCGTCGAACTCGTAGCAGTGTGATTTGGCTGTATAAAAGCACGCTGTGATTACCTAATGCCAAATCACAGCCATGCCATTATACAGCCATATCACACTGCCACAAGTGTGATATTGCTCATATATATACTGTATATGAAAAAATATTAGCCAATGGGTTAAGAAAAAACATAGTATAGCAACATGGGCTTAACCAGTGGAATGAGTTGGGGCCAGGACTATCTGTCCAAACAATGGAGGGTACTTCCTTTTTTGAAAACAAATTTTATTTTGCCATTCTTTTTGGTGTCACCGATGGAGCAAAAACAGCTTATCTCTGGTCTTTCTGAGAGGCTTTGTTGATTTTATGCGATTCATTCGATCTCTCCTATGGGAAAACCATCATCCCCACATACCCTTCCAGTATTGTGACTATTCCAACCCGTCCAGCATCAGAAAGCACGGCTGTGATCACCTATCAGAAGGCGGCATGAGCCAGCCACGTTCTTATCGACCCGCCCGATTGGCTGAACATCCCCTCTGCACTTCATGGCCTGGAGACCAGAACGATCGATATTCTTCCACGAGGAGAAATGATTGATCATCCTCCAAGACCCCGTCCTTGCCTCCCCCAAAACAAAACACTCCAGCGGAGGAGAAATCTGGCATAATGATCAGCTTTAAGTGATTAGTAACGGCTCCAGCCAGTCAGCAGCACAGCTATGGGAACGAGGGACAGCAGATATGAAACAATACCAGACCTTCATATAAGGTGTGTGTGTGCCTCTGTATTATGCATGAGATATAATGAGAATGTGACTCACAGCAAAATGTGTTTTTCAAAGACAAATCAAGCTGACGTCCTGGTGGGATTCACACTTCAACATCTACAGTATCAGCTCTGAGAGTCAGAGACACAGGACAGGCCATCGAGAGAAAGAGAATGGTACAAATCTACTGGCAGGTAAAAAAAAATGCAAAAGCAAAAGGCACTTCAATATCAATGAGTGTCATTTTAAACTCTACATTTAGGTTTATGGCCTTGGGGTGGGAACAGAGGAAATGTTTTTTCACAAAGCCCACAATGGCTCTGGTTAAAGGCAATGTTTTAATGAGAAGAATACACTAGCAAACACAAAATGAGGTGCTCGGGGAGGCGCAAACGGCCGTATTTACCGTTCTATCCACCGGTCCCGCATTTCTATCACCCTCGTCTCTCATCTTCAAAGCCCAACGGCTGGTGGCATGGAAAGAGGGCTCCCCCCTCGTGAGCAAGACACAGAAAGGGCAGCGGCAGGGTCTGGAGGAAGCCTAAGTGGCCCTGGTTGTAGGGTGTCTTTATTCCCCGCCAAGCGGGCTCGCTGCCTGGGCCGTGATTAAATAGAGGACCTGGTGGGAGGCATTCAGCTGGATCTCCGGCAGCTCCCTGCAGCCCTTGTTCTCTGAAGAGGAGGCTAAGGGGGTATGAGCGGAGTTGCAGGGTGGGCGAGGGCCTCTGCCCTGGGTTTGCGATAATGAGAGGATGATCGTTTGAGTCTGGAGCTGCTGGAGTGTGCATTAGCAACATGGTTCAAACTAACTGTTCAGCATGTGTAGCCCTGTGCCTTGCAGAGGTGTTTATTACTTTTTAAAATAACTGCTGTCTATTTAAATATATTTAAAATTTTAATGTATTCCTATGATGGCAAAGCTGAATTTTCAGCAGCCATTACTCCAGTCTTCAGTGTCACATGATTCTGCAGAAATCGTTATAATATGCAGATTTTTTATTATTATCGATGTTGAACAGTTTTTGAACCTTAATGTTGACATGGAAACCATAAAAAATGAACATGTTTATTCAGCAAAGACACTTTAAGTTGATCCAAAGTAACTGTAAATACAATTATTTTACAAACAATTTCTATTTCAAACAAATACTGTTCTATCTATTTCTGAAAATTCTGAAAAAAAAAACATTAACACAGTTTCCACAAAAATATTTGCCATCAAAGAAATAAATTACATTGTAAAAAATATATAAAATTAGAAAATAGTTGTTTTAAATTGTAATAATATAATATTATAGCATAATATTACTATGAATGAACATTATGAACTAATTCATACATTTACAACAAAGACAAAAATACTGATTAAAAAAATACAAATCTAGGATTTCATCATGTACAAAACTGAAAAAGGATATTGTCGTTACCTCTTTCACTTGGCTTCAAGCACCAAGATTTTCTTAGCATCAGCTGCAACCTTGTAATGCACACGTACTGTTTGTCTTTTTACTTATCAAACCGTTGCCTGACAAAGTGTGCCTCCTAAGCAATTGTTGACTATCAAAGACAAGTAGCATCCCTGTCCGCTTCCCTTGACTGTGAAAAGAGGCAAACTAAGAGCAAAAACACAATGAATGAAATATAAATGTGGAAAGAGGTACGAGGAAAGGTCTGGAGGTATACTCCTTCAGCACTTTATCGATCGCATTCTCTTTCCCAGAAGCATGGAGACTGCAGAAGACCCCTTGCTGAAACTCAAGCCTCCCCCAACATAGAGCTCCGTTCTTGGGGGCAAAATAAATAGATCCCACCCCATCTGAGGCAGCCTGCCGGGGTCTGTCTGCCACCACAATTTGTTTTATTGATCTGAGGTATAGATGCATCCATTTCGATGGGCTCACAAACAAGATTCTGATGCTTCCAGCGACTCACGCACAAGCTCAGACTCATGACAAGATACAAACAAGAGACTTGAAAATGAATGAAGACTAGAATGAAACTAATTATGCAGATTTATGCAGTAAAGTAGGGTTCATAAGTCTGAGACCATTTATTTTGCATTTTCATTATATTTTATATTGTCAGCAGCATATAATAATTTGAGTGAAAAGATGAACTTCTAAATGTACATGCATTTCTCAATATATAATATTTAATAATAAAATATTTGTTTTGTGCCCCATTTGCTTTTATTAACATTATTATTGTTTTTATTATTAGAGCAAACTGGGGATAAACCTATATACTACTAAGCCAAATACTATTTAAAAATGTAAAAATATTTTGTATAATAATAACATTAAAGGGGTCATCGGATGCCCATTTTCCACAAGTCGATATGATTCTTTAGGGTCTTAATGAAAAGTCTATAACATACTTTGGTTAAAATTTCTCAATGGTAGTGTAAAAAACACCTTTTTTACCCTGCCAAAATCAGCTCTGTTTTCAGCAAGTCATTCTAGTCCATGTTGCTTTAAATGCAGGCTGATCGGGAGTGGCGCATTCACTTCAAAGCGAAAGTAACGTTAATCCTCTGCGTCTTCAGCGGCTCAGATGTCGGGAGAAAATGACGACTGCTATGTTCATTATTACATCCAACAACAAAGCACCTCAATCGCTTAATCTGAGACATTCTTGTCTTCCCCTGCACCAGAGTCGACACAATGGCATACTGATGGCAGCTCACTCAGGGCGGGTCTTAAGGTAAGACGGCCTTGTCAATCAACTATCGTGGGAGGGGCCTGTGCAGAGCTACGTCATTCTGACAGGACTCTAAGAACAGCCTGATTTGAGAAAGGGGATTTTAAAATAGGGATTTAAAAAAAAAACACTGGGTGGATTTTTATCATTAAAGGATGGATGTGTACACACACTTCCAACACACATTTATGTTCAAACAACTTGTAAAGTGAATTTTGCATCCGATGACCCCTTTAATAATACAAATATATATATATTTTTAAATACTATTTGGCTTGGTATTTAGTTTGCCGCTTTTTTCTTTAAGTATCATTATTATTATTATTGCCATTATTATTATTTAATATTTTGTGTAGTAGTAGTAGTAGTAGTAGTAGTAATATAATAATGATAGTAATAATAATAATAATAATAATACAAAATATTAATGTTCATTTTAATAGTATTTGGCTTGTCCCCCATTTGCTTTAATTATTAATATTAGTCCTTCCTTTAAAACTAATTTAATAAATAATAATAATAATAGTATAAAACATTGTTTTATATTTTAAATTGAATTGGTTTAGTATTTGGTTGGTCCCTCTTTTATTTTGAATTTAATCATTATTATTATATAAATATTTATAATAAAATTTATGATATTATTATTATTATTATTAAATGTCCTTCCTTTAAAACTTGGATTAAATTTAATAAATTAGATTTTGAATCTCAGATTTTTTATGTGCTCTCAGACATTTGGACTCCACTGTATGTTCAGTTACGTAAATCTGAAACATTTTCTAAACTTAAAAACAAAAAGTGGATCCCATTGCAAGGAACAAAAATAATCCACGTCCAGGCACTCACATAGCAGGCAAAATATAAAAAGCCTTTATTGTAAGACAGGGTAAGACTAGTGGTTAGATTTTGAAAATATAGTCACAGGTGTATCTATTTAACTAGTTCTCATTCTCTATTGTCTAACACCCTGATGAAGGCCTGTTTGGGCTGATACACGTTGGTGTTTTTTAACATGTAGCCGTGTCTTACAATAAAGGCTTTTATATATTTTGCCTGCTATGTGAATGCCTGGACGTGGATTATTTTTGTTTCTTGCAATGGGATCCACTTTTTGTTTTTGACATTTTGTTCCCTCTCTGGAGCACCCATAGTCTCGCTCGTGAGTACCTGATGCGCCCCTGGTCAAGACTTTTTTTCTAAACTTATTTAAAAGTTTCAACAAACACTCTGCCTTTAATTGACCCGATTTCTGGCTTAAGGTAATGTTGTCTTCCGCTATACGCTAAACGCTATTTTAATCTAAAACAACAACAGTACTGGCTTCATCTTTGTGGATTTTAACCGGGCTAAGGCCTTCTCTTTTGGTGAGTGAGGGTATTTGTGTGCGCAAATATATGTGAGTGGGTGATGTTTGATGAGCCGTAGTTTCTCTCGTTGTAGGGTGTCTCGTTCTCTCCTCCTAATCGGAGCCTCTGTACAAACACAAACTCCCATTGGTGCAACCCGAATGCCCCAACACAGCATCACATGCACACACCCACGCACATACAAAACTGGATACACGGACAGCTCGTTTTGTGTGATGACAGTCACCTCTAGCATCTCTGCAGCCAATTAAATGTGTTTCAAGACTTGTCAGATCGTTTTCCCCTCCCCCTTCCTCCCTAGTGTACAAGCTCGTCTTTACACATCAATGGGAATGTGTCACAACCAATGGCAGGCCGGCCTCTAAAGAGCCATGAAGGGTTGCAGGACACACACACACGGAGGTCTTGCATTGCAAAACACTGTAAAAACACACTCAGTTCTTACATTGCAAAGCATTGTAAATACACATCATGCATGTATTATATGTAGATAATGTATTTATAAGAAGTGACCTAACCTCTCTCCCACATACTAGCTGTATATTTCACAGCTCATATGCACACACATACACATACATCATTCACTACTACACATATATAAACACACTCCATTACTATGATGTGCTAGTCTTCTGGAGATCCCTGGTGAAAGGATACTTCCCAGCATGCTACACTGCCACCCTGTAGTCGATGTAGCTGTTGCAGGGATGGAAGTTGAAAACGAACAGCAGGTTTGCACGTTCAAACACGATCACGTTGTCAGCTTGATTCAAAGTCGTGACTGCTGCCTGTTAGAAACAAAAAACAAGATGCAAATGATGTAAATGACTGTCAAACAGGAATAATCTCAGAGAAAGCTATTATTGTTCTGATGTAGCTCACAGATCATGCGTTCTCAGATGTTTTTATTTTCTAAATTGTCTTGAAAAAATTAAAACTTGAACAAATTAAACAACTGTTGATGTGATTTAAGAAAAAAAAAATCCTAAACTAGCAAGTCTGTTTTGCTGCTCTAAGTTGGGTTGATTTGTTGGTTTTTAGAGGGTTTTCTGTCTGATCGTCAAGCTAGGCTAGGAGACTAGCAGATTGATCATCTAAAATTAGTTAAAATCGTTTTGGTGAGGTTTGGGGGACCAACTTAGAACCACTGAACCAGCTTAGGCTGGGTCTGTGTTCAAAAGAGTATAAAGCTGTGTAAAGTTAAGTAAAATGAAATAAAATGAAATAAAATGAAATAAATGTTTTGATACAAAGAATAACTTATACGTGATAGAATTGGCAGAAACTTGTTGCAGCTTCATGTAGGAACATTTAATAAATAAATTGTAAGGGAAACAGGTCAATTTAGCTCAAAGGGAATCATTTAAGATTTTAAAGGGAATTTGGACAGAATCACTGTTTTACGGCTGATCACTGAGACGGCCAGCGATTAATTGAACGAGCCGTATAACATCAATTCTGCAATGGATATTAATATCCAAAGTATAGTGAAAACACTATTTATTAGCACAGTAACAAGATCAGCAGTTTAAGACATTAACTTGTAAGCACAAAACACAAGATACTTCTCTTTTCAATATAAATAAGGCTTTATTGGATAAATCTAAGACATATAAACTAATCTAACACAT